GGGGGGGAAGGGGCCTCTGGCACACTTCCTGATGAACCTGGAAGTGGACCAGAACTGCTTCTGGTCCACTTCCAGGTCTGCTGCTGAGCACACTGGGGACCTCTTCATGCTCCTGTGGGACGCTTCATCCACCCCACCATCTCAACATTCACGAGTCCCCTGGTACCTTGAGGTATGTAGAAAAAACATTTGAAGCTGTGTTTATGTCTGACTCGTCAAATCTTTTCAAATTGATTTGGAGGGTTCCGATTCGATTTGTAGAGATTAAAGGGTCTCCTGATTCAATTTGGATTCAGAGATTTGGCCACCAAATTGGGCCAAATCTCTGCTGAATTGAATCAGCAACCAAAGCTTCACGCAGCCCTGATCTTTTCATAATGCACTCCTGAATTTCCATACTATGATACAGTGTTATTGCTGCTTAATCCTTGAGGGCAGGGATACTGGGAAGGAGAGGCTTTTAGTTAAATTCCAGTAACTAAAATTCTCTAAGCAGGTGTCTTCCATGGGTGTTACCTCCTTGCCTTCAATGTTTATTCTCGATAAGTACATTTGAAAATAAAGGAGGTTAGGGTACTATCTCTTGTCAGTCAGGCCCAGTCAGTGCTTACTTGCAGGTTCAAAAAGACATATAGCTTTCATCTGAGCTGTCAGAGAACTGGATAAAAATATTTTCCACTATCACAATTTTATATGTTGAGTTGGGAATATAAAAGTAATAGAAATGCTTATCCAACAACTGCAAGCCAAGTGGAAGAAACTGGAGACATACGTACTAAAGAAATTCCTTTTTTTAATGAGACACAATGCATTCACCTTCCATCAAATCAAAATATCTGCACTACTCTTTTTGAGTATTAATAACTTTGACTGATGGCTTGAGAGGCAAGAAGAAATGTTATGGATCTGGAGGTTCAAATAATAGCAGACTATTGGGATAAATACATAAAAGAGGTAATGAAACTGGAAAGGATTCTGGACCAGATCCTCAAATGATATAAACAAGAGTAACTTCAAGATTGAAATACACAAAACATGCTTACAGATACATTTTTTAATAAGCTACCAAACTGAATGGTGTTGTTCTTGAAGTGTGTTTTTCATATTCATACTCACCAGAGTCAGTTGCAGCTGTGGTGGTAGAGAGTGTTTCCTAGTAGTGCCCACTAGAGCAGTCATGTTCCCTCTTCAGATCCCTTATACCTACAGCTTATGGATGATTCCACTAGCTCGACTTAGTCATTATTTTAGATGGTAATCTTAAGAGTAGATTAGTGCATACAACTGTAATATAATGTTTTTCTCTGTTAGTTAAGTTACATCTAAATAACATTTCTTCTTGTATTCTAGAGATCGTGTGATTGGTCTAATGATGACAGCTTGTGATCTGTGTTCTGTAACAAAATTATGGCCAGTTACCAGAGTGACAGCCAATGACATATATGCAGAGTTCTGGGCTGAGGTATGTTATGTTTCTTTCACTCCTTAAAACAAAAAACATGGAAAATATCCAGATAGATGGGAAAAAGAACATAACAATAGAGCAGTATTCAAGAGATTTCTTACCACATGTGACTTGAAATCTGTTCATTTTTTTATGCGAGTTTGCAAGTAAGCTACTTGGAAGCCATTTGAACAGCTTAATTATTCTGGAATGATTCTGGACGCTTGTCATCAGTGTACAAGCAAAGCTATTTGTTTCCCCAAAATTAAATGCATACAAAGTTGAAAGAAAAGAGAATCTGTAAGACTTCCCTGTCACTGATGGTAATCCTCTTAAAAAACACAGCTACTTTTGATGGCTTATGTAGAAGTCACAAAAGACTAAACCATTTTCCAGAAAGTTTCCTCAAAACATCAGCTTCTGGAGCAGAAAGGAAATATGAGCACTGCAGAATTGTTCTCGTCCCACATTTTGAATCCCCTTCTGAGTCAGCTTGATGGTTGAAATTTAAAGATACCTAATTGGCCTGCAATGCAGTGCAAAGTTTCTTCAACAAATACAAGGCAGCCATACATAAAGTTGGGCAGGCATGATCTTTTTCATACCCTTTCTGATGTCCTATCCTTAAGTTAAAAAAAAGAAAGGAAAGGAGGGATGATGACTTCAGTGAATGCTGCATTGGATGTAGACTTTTTGCCTTTCTTTTAGGCCCTTTTTAAAATCCAGTGGTTTATATGAACAAAAAATAAAGAAACTATGGACTGAAAACTTACAAGTATAGCTGTCCTACAGCTCTCTAGTTTCAGAAGATTGTTGTATTTTCTGAACTGGTGTGGTATATGAAGTCTGCAGGGACTGATTGTTTTCTAGTGCGTACCAGGTGTAAGTCTGTTGACTTCAGTGGAATTACTGCCAATTTATACATGTGAGTTGAGATTCAGACCCACAAAATACTGCAGCATTTTGTCTTAAGGATTTTTTGTTTGTTTCCTGAATTGTTGGTTGTAGAATTCAGATTGGGCATGATTTGTTTGGGGTTTGTTTTTGTTTTTATTTTGTTCTAGTTTCAAAACTAATTGTGGATTACGTTTCTGAGCAATTGTATTATGTTTAATAACCACAAACTTTATCAGTTTAACAAAGTTAATAACATTTAGTAATCTAACACAGTGGTCACTATTGAAAAAATCAGCTCTATAAAATGTGTTTTTAGCAGACAGTGTTTTGGAGTTCCATGTTTATTGTGTCTCAGTAATTACTTGTTTAATTTGCTTTGTTTACAAGTGAAGAGCATTTTTCCCAGTTACCATCTATAGACACTTGGTTGAGGGAAGACAATGAGGGTTATTTTATTCTTACCATTAATAAGCTGGAATTAAGGATAGAATTTGGCTGCAAGATATTTTCAATAGGTGAGGATGTGCTAGAAGGGAAATCTTTTATGTGACTGTCTAATTCCAGAATGGGTTTGTTGTAGTGGCCATTGAGGGTGGAAGTGGGGGTGCGGTTAGAGGGCCACAGACATCATTTTACTTATAAATGGAGTATATTTTGATTGGAAATAATTGGCAAATAACCATAGAATACTGCAGTTCTGTTTTTACTGGATCCCCTTTCAGGCTAAGCGCAGACATTTGTGGGGGTGGGGGGAGGTTAGATTGTATTAAAAATGGCCACCCATTCTAAGTTAGTTCACCCCAGTGTGGACATTTCACTTAGACCTGGTCTCAGTGATTTGGAAATCAATTTAAACTCGTAACAGTACAGAAATTACATGCACATAGACCAGTCTAAAAATGGCAAAACCTGGTCGACAATAGACCTGGCTTGATGTACGCTCAAACTTAATCTTTCTAGGTTAAACTGGTTCACTGAACTTCAGTGCAGTTACCTGTGCCACCCGGGGCTGGGAAAGCCTAGCCGTTGACCTCAGTTCCAGGGCTGCACTTTTCCTACCCGCCCCTCCCACCCAGCACTGGGCTATTTTTAGCCCCATAGCCCCTTGCCCATCCCCCTCCACCACAGAGCAGACCAGACCAGCCCCTCCACGAACCTCCATCCTGCAAGCTGGTCCAGGTGCTGATTTTATCAGTGTTTGCCACTGCTGGGAGCCAAGGAAGTAAGTCCTGGTGGGGTGGGGAGGGATGGGGTGTAGGTTCACTGTGGGGAGACAGGGCTAAAAACAGCCCCTAGTCTTCCCCAGCCCTGCTACAGACTCTGTAAACCTTGCTGATCCTGCCAAAGCCTCCTCAACCTTAGCAACCCCCTGCGGATCGCACCTTCTCCCCCCAATCCCTCCTGC